AGAGAAGCCTTGGTCGCTTCGCCGTCGTAATTGCTTTGCTCTACAAATAAATCGTGAAATTTGATTAAATACGTGGAACAATGCACCAGACGCTGACCGTGTCGACGGATGAGTCACGGAGTGGGCCTTGGAACAACCCTGCTCATGAAAGGAGGCGGTTGCACCCTACGTATGCGAATATCGAAAATCGATACCCGAAAGTTTGAGCTTGAACTGCGTAGTAGCATTATTGATTGATGCATGGTAATGACATTGACGTTTGGTCATCTTTTTAGTGATATTAACATGCTTTACATCAATTTGAACGACAAAATATAACAAAATCAGAGAAAAGCCACCCATCTAGATTTTACGAAAACCCATAAACGAAACTCCTTTACTTGCATTTTTCTGTATTCTCAACCTCTAATCATACTGTATCGTAAATGCTTTAACTAATATGGGTTTAAACGCATTAGTGATTGCTTTGTGACCTATTACTTGATACTTTAGAGATGCCCGAGTATCTGCAACTAAATTAAATCTTTGTCCTCCTAAAAAGAGTGTAGTCCCTATGCTTTAAAAACTTCTAGGTTCATATACGCTGCTATCGTTCCTCCCTTGTGAGTGATTTCTGCCTTTTGTAGCCGCGCCTTTTATAATCCTATTGTTGCATGAAAGGAAATAATGGTAATATATAGCTAGGTGAAAGCCAAAATGTGTGACGAAGTTGTTGACGCTTAATTTATTGGAATAGAAAATTAAAATTTGGCTATGGACTTTATGGCAACTGTAAAAATAATGCAATATACCACCATAAAAGTTGTTGCCTAGAGTGAGCATTTCCTCTTCCGGCATCAACAAGACTTTCCAAGTGGTTTCGTCACTTTCCCAAGGTTTCAGTATTTCTTTCAATTGATATTTTATTGCCAATATGGTTGGCTTTTTATAAAACCCTCCCGCAGAGCCCAATAATGACTTAAGACCCCGTCCACAGTTGACGGATCATTCATCCCTTCGAACCAATTCTATAAAATTTTTTATATCTTGTATAGCTATATGGCCTCGAGCCTTTGCTAAGGTAGTGAGAAGTAGCAGTAGTATAGTAGGATATTTACTACTAATATACAGAAGGGCTTTAACAAATAGTCTTGTTCCATTTTGATC